ATTGTCTTCAAGAATCATTATAATCGTGGTATAATATGCCCTTCTCTTTGTACTCTTGCTATAAAAATGCAACTTTGCACTTTATTTTGGAAAAATTTTTAAATCCTATATGTTAAGGTAGTAATTTAAGAATTATGCCTAAATAGAAGAGTCCCAAAGTGTATGTAGAAAGCATTTCCGAGAACACAAGCACTTTTCAGAATGCTCCTGGTACCAGTTCTGCATTCCAGGTTCCTTTAAAGGTAAGGAAGTAACCTAACACCAACATGCCATTCTAATAAGACAATTTTCAGAGCCTCTGTGAAATCTCCTAAGAGTCCATGGACCACAGATCTGTGTGTACTAGGAAAGCAATACAAGAATGAGGGTGTTAATGGAATTTTATGCAGCCATGAAGAAGAATGAAATGTTATCATTCGCAGGTAAATGGATGGAATTGGAGAACATCATTCTGAGTGAGGTTAGCCTGGTCCAAAAGACCAAAAATCGTATGTTCTCCCTCATATGCAGACATTAGATCAAGGGCAAACACAACAAGGGGATTGAACTTTGATCACATGATGAAGCGAGAGCACACAAGGGAGATATGAGGATAGGTAAAACACCTAAAAAACTAGATAGCATTTGTTGCCCTCAACGCAGAGAAACTAAAGCAGATACTTTAAAGCAACTGAGGCCAATAGGAGAAGGGGACCAGGAACTAGAGAAAAGGTTAGTTCAAGAAGAATTAACTTAGAAGGTAACACACATGCACAGGAAATCAATGCGAGTCAACTCCCTGTATAGCTATCCTTATCTCAACTAGCAAAAACCCTTGGTCCTTCCTATTATTCCTTATACTCTCTCTTCAACAAAATTAGAGATAAGGGCAAAATAGCTTCTGCTGGGTAGCAAGGGGTAAGGGGGGAGGGGGTTAAGAAAGGGACAGGGGTAAGGGGGAGAAATGACTCAAACATTGTATGCATATATGAATAAAATTAAAATTAAAAAAATGAGGGTGTTGAGGAAAACTCAGTTATCTATCATGTAAAAGATCTAAAAATAACTAATAATCATTAGTGATATTATAGGTAATTCTTTATTTATATTTTAAATATTTCAAAGATAAACATGATGGATTTGGTAATAAAAACACTAACTCTTCAATGTAAAAATAAAACCACCTCACTTAGTAACTTCCCTTCTAGTAATTTATCAGCAATTCCTCCTTCATAAAAAAAATTCAAAATGGAGACAGTTACAAACACAAAAAATGTTCCCTATATTTACCTTAAGTGAAAATTGGAAATTATATATTTAATAATATTTAAAATTGAAATCATTACAATGGGATTCATTCACAAGGTGGAACACTATACAGTTATTAAAACATTATTATAAAGTATATACAATAAGCAAAATGTTTAGCCATTAGTGTAGGTAGAAGAAAGAACGTAATCTCCATACACGAAGTGTATGCTCTCATCCAGGGAAAGTGCATTTAAGAAGGAGTAGGGGGAAATGTGACATAATGTTAAGAACAGTTTGCTCCTATTGATAAAAAATTAGACACATACTTTTTGTTTGCTGTACACCTTTTTATTCTTAACATTTTCTGTATCAAAACATTATTTTAAATAAAAAAATTTTAGGGTGCAAGTAGCTTTTCTGGAATTATGAGACAAAAAGCTATATAATTAGCTAGAAGGAAAAAGTTACTTCCTAATATAGTACCAAGAAAATAAAACAGTATTCAGGGACACACACAGAATAGAAAACTAACAACCATTATTGCCTAAAATAGTTTAATAGCCTAAATGCTATTATCCTTTTCCCATTATGCTAATTCCACAAAATTAGCTTCTCTAATTCATAAGCCACAAACCAGTACTACAAAGCTTTTATGAAAGCTTTTTTTTTTATTATATTTGGAAGCTGGATTCTACCACCACCTGCCTTCCCTTTTGTGTGCAAAATTTACACAGCGATCTGACATATGGATACTACGTCATATTACATAATTGTTTTTTTAAATGTTAAATTGTTTGACAGACTAAAATGAAGATCTCTTTTACCTACTTATTTTTTTTTCCCTAAAAGGGAAACAAACTTGGAGCTGCCAACCTCTGCAGAAAATATATCATTTCTGAGTGACACAGAACAGGAACTAGAGACAAACAGCCAATTAAAAATAAAAGTTTTCAATTATTCATCACATATATGTGTAAGTTAAGCTCTAAAATTTGCCTCGGGATCAAAATTGGGAGGGGGGAAGTTCTCAAAGTTTTAAAACACATAAACTTACATTGATATTAAAGAATAATGAATAAACTTTTATAAACAATATAATATTTTGCTGATATTTCCTTTATATCATACTCTCACTGTAACTGTAGTATGTTTAGCAATGAAGCAATAAATAATATAAAGTGTTAAAAGTTTTCACTATCTTATTTAGAGTTTTTAAGGTAGTTATTATGTATCCAGTGAATGAAGAAAAATTACTACTTTAAAAAATACATTAATAGGCACCAGTGGCTTATTCCTTGCTATTTAGGAGGCTGAGATTCAGAGGATGGAGGTTCAAAGCCAGCCTGAGCAAATAGTTCATAAGACCCCATCCCCAAAAAATAACCAGAGCAAAATTAACTGGAAGTGTGGCTCAAGCATTAGAGCACCTGCTTTGTAAGGGCAAAGCCCTGAGTTCAAAATCCCAGTCCCACAAAAAGAAAAACTCATTAATAACAAATGGTATACTTTAAGAAACAATTGTATCCATGCCCTCTCTAAACAACTCTTAATGTGAATTACATAAAAGTTCACAGAGCAATTTTGCAGATTTTACGATCTACAAAACCTTTTCTGTTCAGAAATTGCCAGGCCATCTCTCCCACTCCTCTCTGTACCTTTAAATTATCGCCAATCACACAAAGTTACCACAAATGTTCACACTCACCCATCCTAAATTCAAAATATTTCCACTTATTTTGATAATTTCTTTAGAAAAGCACAAGACGGGACTATAGACTAAAAATGTAACCTTTAACATAAATCATTTTACACACATATACTGCACACACAATATAAGATGAGAGATCTTTCATATCTGGCCAATGCCTTCCATTACAAACACATTCGATCTCTGTCAAAGGACAATGTTACTCCATAGTGCCCCCTAGCTCACTAATAAATGTCAGTTTGAAAGGGACACCATTTGAATTGTCAACTTCCAGTGTGTCAGTTACCATCAGCTCCACTTAAGCAGCTCTTAAACAGATATTATATTGGCTAAATTCGATCTGATAAGTAACAGCTGACAAATCTTGCTAACAACACCTATAAGAGCTGATAAGAAAAAACATGAACTAATGGGTTTGGTATTCAGTCAATAATACAGCTCAAAAGTTCTGTAGTTTCTCTGTAAGATGCAATTTGTTTGATTTTGTAGACAGTAATTAAATAAGGACTCATAAAAATTCACATTAAAATGTTTCCTTTTTATGTAACTTAAGGGGAACTAGCATAACATTTGGCATGGCTCTTTGGAGAAACGGAACCACTCTTAATTTTAGCAAAATGCTGGGATCAGGTTAAGCTATGCAAAGACTTAGTAATGTTAGTACTCATCGTTACAATCTATAAATTACTAACGCCAGTAAGTCTGTGAAAGGAAAATTGTGATAAGTCAGGTTTGGGTTGCTTCAGGATCAGCACGGGGAGGCAAAAGGCAAAGACGACATCATGATTGCTCTGTCCTTTTTGGAAATGCACATTAAGCAAAACTAAGTACAACAACTACTAAGAAAATCACTCAAGTTTTCAAATGCCCTTTGCCTTACACAAGTCACTCTGGAATTAAAAAAAAAAAGCAATCCTCCTTTATTGTACATTTAAAGACAAATACTTTCCTACTAATAAGAGGAAAGGGGGAACAGGATGAAATCTGCAGGGAAAACTGAGAAACGGTGAAAATCTAGTGGCAATTACAATAAGGCAGATTGGAGTACGCCAAAACTACCAGGTTTTATTCTGAAGAATGGTTTTGTTCCTATCTTTTCTTCCCCCCAAGGTATTTAATTTGCAGGTCTGAAAATAGAGACCCCGAGGAGAGCAGCTTGAGTCAGTGGAAGGAAAGGCGGCGGGTTAGGTAAGAACAGAGACCGGTGAGAAAAATCTGTGCGCTGCATTAGAATGTGCAATTGGCGGGGGGTGGGGGGGAGGTGGAGTCACGGTCAGGAAGCAGCCGAGGGCTTCAGGAGCAGAGCAGGCAATCCGAGGTGACTTACGGAATGCGCTTTCACAGCCAGAATGCACACCAGGTAAAGGGACAACCCACCAACGGTGCAGCTGCTGAAATGACCATTACAACCAGTCCTATTGTCTGGAGCATTAGATGGAAATGCCTCAGGCAAGAGATCTAGCTGGGCAGCAGACACCAAACCCGAGACCCTGCAGGGCAAAAGGAGGGAGCGAAGGATGAACAGTGGCCTCCCGGGCATCCCGGGCCACCGGGACCCCTTCCTCGCTGCACCGAGAGGGAAGCCGGGGTCAGGGCCCCGCGCGATCCCGGTCCGCGGAGCCCGGGCGCAGGCGGTCCTCGACTCAGGTTGGCAACGGCGGTCCCCGCGCAGCTCGGGAGCACCGAGACTTCCCCTCCCACCCCACCCCCAGCCGAAAGCGGGGAAGACGCGGAACTTGGGCTTCGGAGCGGAGGCCACAGACCAGGTCATGGCCCTGGTGGGAGGCTCCTGGAGCAATTCCGTGTGGACACCAGAGTTGGGCAAAGCCCCCGGCAGCCCGAGGTTCCAGTCAGACGCGCTTGGGTCGGGGGGACCGGGCCCCGATCCCTCGGTTGCCCACCGACCCCCTGCACCTCAGGGTCCTCACGGTCCCAAGGCCCCGCTGGCCTCGGCCAGTGGCGCAGCCTCTCGGGTCGCACCACACTGCAGCCGCCCCTCTCGATAAACAGCTCCTCTCCCAAACCCTCGCCTCGGACGCTCCCGCCGAGCCCCCGGCCGCACCTCCGTCTTAGTGATCCGGTGCCGCCCCAGCTTCACCACGGCGAAGTTGCCCTTGCCCAGCGTGCCCTCGATGTCGTAGAACCCCACCCGGACCGGCCCGCGCTGCAAGTGCCTCGGGCCATCCGCCATGACCATGCTGGGCCCCGCTGCTAGACACGGCGACTGGAGCGCGAGCGAGCGAGCGAGCGAGCGAGCGGGCTGGCGGCGCGGCTCGGCTCGGCTGGGCTCTGGCGACCGCCGCTCCGCTCGCTCCTGCGCTCCTTCCCTCCCGCTCCGCAGGGCCCAGCCAGGCGCGCGCCGCCGCTGACGTGAATCGACGTCAGGGGGCCGGGGCAGGGGGCGGGGGCGGGACCGGGCCTCGATTGGTCACCATGGCGACCGGAGCAGCGCCGACGTCGGCAGCTGAAGGGAAGAGGGACGCGGCGCGGGCCTGGTTGGCGCGTTCCTTCCGGGCCCGGGCGCCCTCCCCGCTGAGTCGCTGTCGGGGGCGTGGTCTCCGCTCGCCACGCCCCTTTCCCCAGCCTTCCATGGAAGGGCAAGAGCGAGCCCTGGTGGGCTGTGCGGAGCGAGCACTAGCGACCTGCACCGAGGCGGTCTGGTTCCTTTCTCGCCCCGACGTTCTCCGCCCACCTATGGACCTTCCCGCCAAAACCTCTCACCTATGAGTAGACCGCACCCTAAATTTGGAACCCGCAAAGCACTGTGGCTGAGCAATGCATAGCTCACCGGCTTCTTTCTTTGTGTCCTTTCCTCTTCTCGTTGCTATGTAAATCTATCCACATTTTGATGTCTCTGAGCAATCAGGCTGACAGCAGGCGGTTGCATATAGACGCACAGAGTGTCACCGTTGAAGGGACCCTAGAGATTACTTGATCCGGGGTTGGAAAACTCCAATGGGTATGGAAGCCTAGAACCCCTGAAATGAAGGCGAATTTCTTCTTGAGCGTGTTTATGGGGAGAGGAGACCAAAGCTTCTATCACATTTCTTCAAATAGTTTTAACCTGAGAAGGTTAAAAAAAAAAAGTATTTATCTAATACAATTTCTTTTCAGATGACGAAGCACGCTGCAAGGAATGAAGGGTATTGCCAAAGTCACACAGGTAATGAACAGTGACATTTTAATACTTTGAAGTATATTGCATGCCTCCAGATCTTGGTTGCTGGGTACCATTCTTCACTAAAAGCAACCAGACTCTTTGGCTAAATGACTCATTTCAGGATAGAGACAGGAAAAGTATAAAATGCCCTTGAAAAATCTTGTATCAGGAAGCAAGATTGCTTGTATATGTCAAGTGGGATATATCAAAAGAAAAAAAGGAGAAGGCTTGAAAGTACACCCAATTACCAAATTTATAATGAGAGAAATAGATGATCAGGACCCATGAGTGCATACTTTCACCTTAACTTTTAAATAAGTGATTAAATAAGTTTAAAAAAAAGGTGGGAGAAGTGAAAAGTTCTTCACAGTGAAATACATACTAATACATGCAGAAGAAATGGTGAGGTTATGAAATCACCATTTTACAACTGTTAGAGTATTAATTGATTCAGACAAGAATTATCATTTGATGTTAAAATCATTGAATGAAACTTGGCTGGGAAACAGGCTGTTTACACAGTCTGGAAATGTCTTTGGATTTCTTAGTCATTGCAAAGGGTGAACAAAGAAAGGTACCTTTACAGTGGAGAAATCTGACAGACACCATCCTAACAAAATGATCCAAGTTAATGTCACCAGTTATGGTCTGATGTGAGGCACTGGAGACATATATGTCTTATGTAATATTCAAATCAGAAAAAAATAAAATGGAGAAGCATTCTACTCCAAAACTGACTTGTATACTTTTTAAATGTCATTGTCTTGAAAGACATGAACAGTTCTAGGTTTAAGGGATTAAGAGACATGCCACTAAAGGTAACATGTGATCCTCAAAAAAATGTTAAAAAGGAATGTTTTCAGGACAATTGTTGAAATTTGAATGTGGATTGTGTTAGGTAAAAGCACTGTTTTAGTGCTAAGCTTCTTGAATTTTGTAATATACTTTGTTAAGAAAAAGTACCTTTAGGAATTACATACTGAAGTATTTAGGGATAAAAATTTGTGGTTTTCTTTTTTTACAACTTACTCTCAAATGGTCTAGCAAAGATAGATAGATAGATAAAAATGTACCAAAATGTTATATTGATAAATCTAGGTGAAGGATATATGGTAACTTACTGTATTGTTCTTACAACTTTTCTGTAGTTAATTTTTAATGAAAATTAATATATATGTGTTAAAGAAACATATTTCTTTTCTTTTTCTTACTTTGAGATTGACTAACTCTTGGGTTCTCCACTTTGCCAGACAGATGAATGTGTTTTAATTCTTCTGGAGATAGGTTCTTTTAGGAATCAATGAAAAGCCACTTACTCAAGCACCCGAACCTGCACAAAGACGCACTAGAATTAATCTCCCCTTTAAAGTACACCTTTTGGACAGAAACGGACTAATTTTTAATCTGAGTATTTAATCAGATAATCAGGCAATCACCTACTTATACAGTCTGAGAATAAGATCTGATCTGAGGCCAAAAAAGAAAGATAAAGGAATGGCAGGGAGTACCTAAAGTTTTTTGGAAAACCAGAGTTCTCATCAGTGTGCTGGAGTTTACAGGTTAGAAAGGAGGACCAGAGACAGGAGAGAGCTAGAAGGGACTGTGCCAAAAATCAGCATCACCCATGTAGAAATGCAGCAGGCATGCCACTGAATACTACTAGTAGATTGTAAATGTAATTCTGAAGAACTATATGTGGACTGATTTAAAGTCTTGCAACCTTGGATCCCATGGTTCAGCTTTATTTCCCCTGATTTAAAAAAAAATCTATTAATTGATGGTTATATACATTTTAGCAATTATTAATTTTACCCAACTATTGTTTCAACTTCTTCTTTTCTCTTTCTCTCTCCCTACACACACACACACACACACACACACACACACACACACACACACACACACACTTACTTACTTCAGGAAAAAAAATGACAGTAGACAAATGAGAAAGAGAAGAGACCTTCAGACAGGCCTCTCTTTTTGTCTCTGGTATTAATATAAGGGAGATGGAACACTGTATTTACTAGATTTCCTATTTGACCTTTAAAATGCAACATTCTCAGCTGATGTTGTGAGTCTACTATATTTGACATTGAGTTGAATTAAAAATGTTAACAATTCAAAAAATCAAGAAAATTCCATGGCTTACAGTGCAGTACATGCATATTTTGCTGAAGTAGACAGCTTGTTGAACTTGAAAAACAAAATGTGTGCCATTTGTTTCGTTGATCATAAAAAATGTCTGCATTTTTACTGTTTTATCATTTCAGGTCCGAAGGAAAGTCAGTAGGCTTAGGCCTGGATTTAGCTTTTTAAAAAACTGATGAAATCTTTATTAGATGACTTTGCTCAGGAAAAGTTAAATGGGTAGAATGAACACTTTGCTTTTTATACTAACAAAGAAAGCAGCATAATAAGAAAATCCAACTTTCTGACCTATGCAATTCCAAGTGCTTCTTATCAGTAGTATAAAATACAAGGGTTCATGAAAGCAAGTCTCAGTCAGATTAATGAACATGGTGCCACCATATGTAAGGTATTATTATGGGAATAAACTAGAGGATTGAGCCGCTTTGAAGAAAACTTCCTTTGGTACTTTTGTCTTTTAATAGCTTTTTGCAGTATAATTGCTTTTTTATATAAAACTGTACATATTTAAAGTGAAATTATGATAAGCTTGAACACATGCATATACCCATAAAACCACAAAGTAATAAACACATTCATCACCTCCAAAACTTTTCCCCTACTTCTTTACCCCCCCCACTGTGTTTTGGGGGGATTAGAATACTTAATTTGATATCTACTTTCTTAAATTTTTTAGTGTAAAATATAGTATTGTTCACTGTATGCACTATATTATTCAGTGGATCTCTGGAACTTTCTTATTTTGTATAACTGAAGCTTTACAACCTGTTGAACAACACCCCATTTCCCTTTCCCCCAGTCCTAGGCAACCACTATTCTTATTCTTTGTTTCTTTGACTGTTTTAGGTACTGCATATGAGTGTGATCATACAGTATTTATTCTGTGACTATTTCACTTAGTATAATGTCTTCCGGGTTCATCTTTGTTATCACATACGGAATTTTTCAAGACTGAATAATATTACATTGTGTGTATGTGTGTGTGTGCCCACATGCCACATTTTCTTTCTCATTCATCTGTTGATAGATATTTAGGTTGTTTTCATATTTGGCTTTCATGTCTAATGCTTTAGTGAACATGGGAGTACAGATAGCTCTTTGAGATCCTGATTTCAATTCCTTTACACAAATACCCACAAGTGGGAGTGATGAATCATAGTCTTATTTTTGTCTTTTAAACCTCCATACTATTTTTCATAATGGCTGTGCTGATTTATATTCCCAACATCAGTGTGCAAGAATTTCACCTTCTCTACATCATTGCCTTACCTTTTTTAAGTCATGGCCATCCTAACAGGTATGAGGTAATAGCTCATTGAGGTTTCGATTGGAATTTCCTGATGACTAGTAAAGGTAAGCATCTTTTCATATACCTGATATAGATTTGTATATTGTCTTTGAAGAAATGTCTATTCAAGTCCTTTGCCCATTTTTAGATCGGTTTATTTGATTTTTTGGCAATCCAATTGTAAGAGTTCCTTATATATTAACCCTTATCAGATACATAGACTGCAAGTTTTTTCTCCTATTCTATAAATTGCTTTTTTTACTCTATTATTTCCTTTGCTGAGTGGAAGCTTTTTAGTTTCACATATCTTAGGTGTCTGTCTATTTTTCCCTTGTTGTCTGTGCTTTCACTGACATATCCATGAGGTCACTGCTAAATATCAATGTCAAAAATATTCTTACCTAAGTCTTCCTCTAGGAGTTTTATCATTTTAGAGCTTACATTTACGTCTTTAGTTCATGTTGAGTTGATTTTTGTGTATAGTGTGAGGTAAGAGCCTAGTTCTATTCTTTTGTGTATGGACATCCAGTTCTCCTAACACTATTCGTCGAAGAAACCATCCTTGTCCATTGTATATACTTGGCACCCTTGTTGAAGATCAGTTGACTTTTATGTGTGAGTTTATTTCTGGGTTCTCTGTTCTGTTCCATTGATCTGTATGTTTGTTTTTATGTGGATATTATACTGTTTTAATTAGTTTAATTTTATGATTTTTTTTTGAAATCAGGAAGTGTGAGGCTTCCAGTTTTATTATTCTTTCTCAAGATTGTTTGTTTCTTCA